CCTATACAAACTAGTTCAAATCATATCGAGAATAGACCCCCAGGATGAAATCTGAAAAATCCACATTTTGACATTTGTTACCTATTTCTATAGTTCCTACAAGCGTTGTTTTTAAGTTTTTTTCACAGTATGTCAGTATCTAACGTAATTAATTCTGTTCGCAAATATTAATAAAATAAATAGTAGAGTAGGTACCATTACTTATACTTAATCTGAAACTTAGACCATATAGTACATTCGCCCTATGCTATGGATGGTCACGGATAGAGGGCACTGTAGTCGTGGGCATGTCGTGGGTATGTGAATCTCAGGGTAAACTAAAGTCGTGTAAACACCACTAGGATCGCTTAAAGGGCAGCTTTATAGTAACCGCGTAGTACGGGAAGCTTTAAATACTCTTCAATATTTGCTATACGTCCACAAATAAGAATAAGTTTGCTTTTTTTGGGATATCTAGGCGATTAAATAATTGACGTTTGTTAATTTATATGTTGACAGTCTCAAATCGTGTTTCATCGGACAACTTAGGACAGACTCGTTTACCCTGAAACTCACATACCCAGGCGATGTCCTTGACCATATTTTAGTTACAATTAGCAGTCCATGTACTATATTGCAGTGTAATTCACCGAAATTCCCAGGAAGACCCATCTCAATTGCCCCAAGTACACAAATGTGTAAATGTTACTTATGCAAAATTTCAGGATTAGGTACTACTTATACGACTTAAAGACCTCCTGCAGGGACACCTCTAATAAGCATTATGCTCGAAAAAATACAACAAAAATGAAGTAATATTTTGCTTTGCGTTTTTTAAATTTACAAAAGTGCTAATCACCAGTTCTTCACCAGATTAAATTTTCTCAATCGTAAGCCATGTTTAGGGTTTTTGTACAATTTTGCTTTATGCTATATGCGATATGTTTGTTTTTACTAGAAGCATGTATGGTTAAAATTTCGAAGAAATATTTTCATAAATAAGGAGTTGGCACTGCGCAAAATGCGCATGCGCACATCTAATGTTTACAATATGAGATATGTTTCGCCTTCGTTGGAAAATGCGCTAAAAATCAAAGCTTCATCAAATCTTTGTGATAAACCACCGACCTCGCGAGACGCCCTCGGTCCTTTGAGATGTTGATATATCGTAATACACCTATAGACATTGTAGCGTTGCAGGTTTTAAAAAACATGTTATGCATAGATATGTTCGTTTAATTGATAACAACATCCTCAATAGTAATAATTTTCCGTCCTATTGTAGATTTTTAGCAGACTCGTAAATTATAATGGTAAATTCCGAAATCTGGCTAGGACAGGCTTAAAATTTTTCTGAGCCTGCCCTGGCGTACCCCTGGCTCTACGGCCCTGTATCTCTATTGCAAAGAGACCTTTAAACTCTCCGTTATTTTCATACATAGTTTAATTTTACTACAAAGTAAATTTACAAGTGCATAGTGAAACAAGTATAAAGACAGATTCTACTTGCCCTTTATGAATACTGTCTACCGACACTTCGTTTTCAAGATATCCACTTCACTTTCACAATAGATATGTCTTGTCCAGGCGAATCATTTTGGCTTTGTGAGTACTCTCCTCCGATAAAACTTTTTCCAAATATTCGCTCTTAAAGTTTTGACATATATTTCTTCCAGACGTCCCCCCCAGTACCCCCACCGACAATCCGGTCACGATAAGGGGTCGAGGAGGAGGACTATGGTTGGCAGAAATTAATTCCTTTCGTTAAGACCTTTCATAAGAGTCCCATGAATGATATAAAACCAATTCCAAACCAAACAAAATCTCGAAAATGTCTGCTGGTCCGTCTGTACTCTCATTTCCGGCTAATTGGCTGAACCGAACCGATTGGAGTCAAATTTGGTACTTAAATATATAAAAGGAAGAACTGAAAAGCTTTTGGGCAGATCGTGCATGCACAAAAAGAGAGACTAAATAAACGACCCCCTGGTACATCTGGCTATGTGCTCAATTGCGTCCTTGAATTAACCCTAGCACTATCACGAAAGTCATATCAAATTTTCAAAAATGAAGGCGCATTTTCCATGAATTAATCAGTAGTTCCTGCAAGGGCATGTAACAAACTATTTATATGTACCGGGTGACCCAATAAGACTGTTCCTCGGCCATATCTCAAGAACCGTTCGTCATATGACTTAGTAAAAAAAATTATTGGGGAAATCGTTCATGAAGAATCGCTGGAAAATATTTTCAAGTTCTAAAAATGACCAACAGAAGGCGTAACTGCCATCTTAAATTTTAAAAGTGCATTTTCTTTAAATTTCGCATAATAAATTAAACATTCTTTTTTCACATTTTTAAAGAGAACCAGTTTATCTATCCTTTTCGTAAAAACAAAAACTCAATTATTTCAAAAACAAAGATGGCGGGGGCGTTCAATTGTTTTTGCAATAGCCTGCTTTAACTTCTTAACCGTTTGACTGATTGTAACAAATTTGGTATCGTTGAAAAGAGCATTCCTTGGGCAACAAGAATCAACCAAAATATAATTAATTTAGTTGAATCCTTTTCCGCCCGGGAGCTAGTTTTGACACTATGATCAACAATCCTAAAAAAAATCAAAAAAAATCATGGCAGCCTTAACAAATTTAGAAAAAGTGGGGGACTGGGAGGCGACGAGTCTCTCTCTCTCTCACGACTTATTTTAGGGGACAAAGATTTCTTGCACTGCCTAAAAATTGACACCATTCTCTTTAATTTCCCCAACATTTCTAGCATTGCCTTAAATTTCCTATTGAAATATTTTATTTCCTTCATCTATTTCCTACATATTAGCCAGCTATTTCTTCAACGTTTCCCATTAGAGGGACAAGAATTTCCTCGCAGCAGCAGGGGGCTAGCTTATCGTTTTCAAAAGTTACATTTTTAACATGTTTTTGCACATAGTTCATCATGTGCTCAATTGCTCCGTAAACAGAAACCTTTGCACCATTATAGTGTTTTAGAAATCCTTTATAGTATACAGGGTTTCCATTTTTCGAGTGCCACTATGGAGATCTCGCTTAATTGATAACACAGAAAGCTATAATATGTTCAATAGTTTTGAAAATATCGCAAAAAAACGACAATTTTTCTGATTTTTTGAGGATTAAGTAATTGTATTAGACACTTCTGAAAAAAACATTATCCAGACACTTTTTTATGGACAATTCAAATGTGGCTTTTGTTTTTAATAATTTTCAAGGTGGCGGACAAACACGTAGCAACCACGGACCTGCCAATCACACCATGATGATACTATAAAAATGTCCAACACATGTTGGCCGCCATCGCGTGCTTTTTTAAGTTGGTAGTGACTGATTCTACTTAGCTTTATGTTGGTATAACTGGCAAAACTAACCTAGTTTATTTACTTAAAATTGTTTATTGGAGAATCTTCTGAATACTGATCAGCAGTATTACTGCTTTACATTGTTTAAATTACTGACAGTCACTATTTCATACAATTGAAAACAATTATGGCACCTATGCCTACTTCAGGCGTTATTTAATTACATAACCAAACTTTTTTTAGCGGTAATTTGTGTTTATCAATAAGCTCATTCATAAGACACAACAGTTACCGATACGCTACTATCGGTAACAGTTGTGGTCCTATGTCACAATCCATACTTTGACCTGTCTAGCGCTACTAAAAATGGCCGACTGCTCCGTAAAGAGCGTGAAAGTGGCGACGTAATTATAAGACGTACCGGTAACTGTTCCACAACAGTTGTGTCTTATGAACGCGCCCAATAGGAATCACCTCTACAATTTTAACATCACAATAATTTTACCTGTACTTTATTTAATTTTAGGTTAATTTTGCAAGTTTGCCAATATAAAATTAATTAATATCTGTCACTACCAACTTAAAAAAACACGCGATGGCGACTATCACATATTAGTCAAATGTGGAATATTGTATTGGCAGTCCATTTTTTTTAAGAGGTCCGTGGTAGCAACTTTATCTTTTCTTAAAGCGCCATTTTGGATTTTGGCATTTTTTTGTATCACACATAGTGTGGTGGCTCAATTTAATATTTTTTTCTAAAAATACAATTTTTCATTTTTTGTAGAAGAGTGCTTTGGAAAAACAAACGTTCCTAACCTAACTTAACAGGTGTGCAACAGAGAGCGGCGCGGTGGCTGGTTAGAGTTGTCATATATAAAAAAGAAAAATAAGAGACATATGGGGTATATCCTGACCGAGAGATATGTACCCCCAGTAGTGGGGGGGTCCGGAGATCCTCTCCCAAAAAAATGTTGACAAATTTCAGTTGGAACACAAAGTTTTCATGCTCCTACAAGGTAAAATGTGTTGATATTTAGAAACAAAAACACAGAAAGCCAAAGAGGAATATATTTGAAGGAGAAATACAGTGAAAAATGAAATGAAAAAAGCAAAGTAAGAATCGTGGAAGGAGTTTGGAGAAGAACACAGAACAGTACCTATAGAAAATTCAGGACGAGAAAAAAAGATTAAGGGAAAATAAAAGGGAAAGAAATAGAAGCAATTAAAAATAAGCAGAGAGAAACACTAACAGACAAAAAAATACTCGAAACATGGAACGAACATTACAGAATAAAGTATAAAAGGCCAAAGCTCTGCATTTTCCAATTATGCGACAGAATTTTCTAGCTTGTTACGATCTATTAAAGTGTTAGTATCTAAAAATTCTGGAGTCAAATTTTGAAGAGCAGATTACATTACATTTATTTAGGGTTAACGACCAGCACAAGAATATGCTCAATAAAGTTGCCAGAGGCCACATAAAGTAAGTCATAAATCAACGGGAAGATACAAGTAGAGCCGCTCAATGGAATCTGCAACCTGACCAGCGACACGCTAAGTAATTTATCAAAACCTTGCTGCAGAAAGCCAAGACTTTTCCATTTCTCAAAAAACAATAAAATCAATAAAACGTAAATGTGTCTTCAGTAACTTTGCACTAAATATGGATGTATTTATATACAGGGTGGTTCATTTAAATTTTTCAAAAATAATCAACGCTTTCATGGATGGTTGGTGCGACGTTCAACAATAAGGCAACAGACAAATTCATCAAATGGCGAAACTTACCTAATATATCCAAATCCAATCCGGCGTCTCTCTCCTCTGCCAACCTTCTCTCTTTCTCCACTGCAAAGACATAAATCAGTAAAATTACAAAAAACCATCGAACTCACTTTGAATGAAGTTGGCGCTGGGCTTCCTCCGATGATCCCTGCTGTGTATTCGATCCATCAACTTTCCAATACCCCTATCCTTCTTATTGATCGGGCCAGGGCACGTGTCGTCGTACAATTTCACGCACAACCGATGAAGGTTGATGAGACACGCTAAAATTGACACCGATCGGTTACGCACGAAATGAAAATCGGGGGGCGGAGCGTCTTACCTGCACACTGATAGCCCTGAGGCGCTATCCCGGAAATAATCTGATGACAGTGGTTGCACGGTATCACAGTGAAGTACGGTTGGGCTACGAATTGATGTCCTAACAGTATTAGCTGCAAGTAAATTATGACTAACGTTGCACTTTACAAGGCGTGAACAAACCTTTCTCGAGTACCTCCCGATGAATTTTGTACGAAATGACTTCTCCTTGTTGACGAACGTCGGAAAACGGTCTAGGGCGTGACCGGCCGGCCTCACGCCGAATACGCGCGTGATTACCGTCGCGAGAGCGGCCGCCGTTAAGTAGCGGCGCGGATCGTAGTTGTCACGATCCAATTCATCCCTGGAAAAAAATCACTTAGTAGACAATGGACGATAATATTGATTAAAAATAATGTTGTTCTACCACTTAATCCTATAGACGCGATAATCTATGGTACTTTTTTGGTTTTCTTAGATAATCTTTTGATATTCTTATGTATAGAACATTGAAGAAGAAAAGTACACAATACCAGAAAATGACAGATAATACCAAGAAACACCAATCAAGACTATAGAATGAAGATTTGTGCAAGACATGAATTTCGCGGGGTTTATGGAATTTTACTTTACGGCGCTTAGGACAGAAAGAGGTTGACGGTGTTGTAGTTCATGCATTTAAAATTATTACTAGGCTTGTGGTATTAACAAATGTGTTTTAAAATTGGATTTGTATTGGTGACCAAATCACAGCGGTCACATTTTAAATCGTTGGCGGGACAAATGTTAGATGTTAAGAAGTACTTTGAGACTGAATATATGGTTGGTGACGAACGTGCATTGGGCACAGTTTAAATACTTGGTGATCTTGTATATTAATAATGTGTTTTATAATTAGAACACTCGTTGCATAGTCACACCGGATACATTTTAAATTCTTGGTAGTCTCGTATATTAATATGCTGTTGCGAATATGCCATGTTCTACTTAAGTGCAAAGTACAGAGTGGCCAACTAAGAATGCGAGATATTGTATCTGAGAATCTATCAATCGTAGAGGCTTGCGGTAAAAAAAGTTATTACTAAAACGGCCACGAGAAAAACCTGGAAAATATTTCTGAAATGAGAGCTAGGGGGCGTAACTGCAATCTGGAATCTAAAAATGTGATTTTTCTGTGAATTCCGCTATATTAACCTAACAAAAAAATGACCAGTCTTTGAAGACGACGATAATCTGAACCTTTTTTGTTTGACAATTTTTCCTGTATCTCTAAAAATGAAGTGGTGGGGGTATTCAAAGGTTTCCGTAAAGAACACCCTGTATCTTCGAAATGACTGAGCCGATTTTAACAAACTCGGGTTAATTGAAAAGAGTTATTCTTCTGCTACAAATATTATAATATTTGAAGTTTTGTTAGTTTCACATATCTGGACATTTTTTTGTTAGGTTAATAATAGCGGAATTCACAGAAACATCACTTTTTTAGATTCCAGTAATGTCACTAGATATAGAAAGTACCGCAATCATCCGCCATTTTTGGGCAAATTTGCTGCCAACTTAAAAAAATTGACAAATAAAATCTGAATAGCTGTAATTTCTTTATAACCTAACTTCATAGTACTGTCATGTTTTATAAAAAATATATACAGGTATCTCCAAACAGGTGGAACAATCCTTAACCTTAAAGTTACTAGAATCTGGTAACGTCCGCCATTTTTGGGCAAAAATCATGCGTTCTCTCTCTAACACACGAGCCCAATGGATTGCGGAACTTTCTATATTTAGTGACTTTAGATTCCAGATTGCAGTTACGCCCCCTAGCGACCATTTGAGAAACTTAAAAATATTTTCCAGGTTTTTCTCGTGGCCGTTTTAGTAATAACTTTTTTTACCGCAGGCCTCTACGATGGACAGGTTTCCAGATACAGTATACCTCGCATTCTTATTTGGCCACCCTGTACATCTCAGTGTTAAATATGTTGGCGCGGTTGCTCTTATTTATTTATTTATTTATTTATTATCCCTCTCTTGTTTTGGGCCCTCAACAGGCATGACCCGCATAATGCTATTTAGAGGTGCCTCTGCAGAAGGTCTTAAGTTGGTCTATACTACTCCGGTATTTACCTTACGAATTAGGAAAACTGCAGGAAAACCTAATTCGGAGTAGCCGGTAGAATGCTCGGAATTGGTCTAAGGTAATTTCCATCTCCGCCACAGATGAAAAATTCACCTCAACCCAGGTTCGAACACCCGACCTCCGGATTTATAACCCAATTCTCTTACCACTGAGCCATAAATCCTTTCTGAGCCATAAATCCTTTAATTATTGAAAGTAAATGGGTGACTATATCTATGTATACACTGTGTCCCAAGATAAGGATGTCCATCCTTGGGATCTTGGAAAGCATAGAAGATATGACGATGGTCGAATTAGAGAAAAGATGCGCAATTAAACAATTATAATGCTTTAAAGAAAACCAATAAATTCCGATTACTTCCCAAGATATGCCAGAAAAAGCGAAATTTGCCAATTTCGTTTTTATTTTTTTATATGGCCCGTAAAAAAAGTACATACCGTATTGAGTAATAGTTTTTAGTACGAATACAACGATATATGGCGCACACAAAAGAAACTGTTGGTTTGAACAAGATGGTGCACCCGCTCATAACGCCCTAATCGAGCGAGAATATTCCAATTTCCAGAAAATTTCCTCGATATTCACACAATTAGGATGTTGTGCGCCGGTGCACCATCCTGTTGAAACCAACAGAGTTGCCAACTTTTGTTTTTTTTTTGTACAATATATTGATGTACTCATAATAAAAAATGCTACTCAATACAGTATGTACTTTTTTTTATGGCTCATATTCTCCGAAACTAAACGTTGTATTGAAAAGGCTATCTTGTAGAGCTCAAAACGTAACAATGGGAAAGTGTGTTTTATTTTTTTGTATTTATTCAAATAACACCAGAAAAAAATAAAAACAAAATCCGCAAATTTCGGTTTTTTTGGCATATCTTCGCAAGTAATCGGAATGTTCTGGTTTTCTTTAAAGCATGATCATAACTCTTTAATTGCCCATCTTTTCTCTAATTTGACCATCTTCGTATCTTCTATGGTTTCGGAGATTCCTATGATCGACATCCTTACCCTGGATACAGTGTATACCTTAAAATATATACTCAATTATTTATGCAATTCAAAAGCAGGTATATAGTGAACAGAAAGCAACAAAGGCCATAAAAATAATTTTTCAAAATCATTTAATTTTTGAAAAACAAATTCATTTATGTACCGGGTGACCCAATAAAACTGTTCCTCGGCCATATCTCGAGAACCGTTCGTCATATGACTTAGGGGTAAGAAAAAAAGGGGTAAATCGGTCACGAAGAATCGCTGGAAAATATTTTCAAGTTCTAAAAATGACCAACAGAGGGCGTAACTGCCATCTTAAATTTTAAAATTGCATTGTCTTTAAATTTCGCATAATAAACTAAAAAAAATTTTTCACAAAGGAGAACCAGTTTATCATTTTCGTAAAAACAAAAACTCAGTTATTTCAAAAACAAAGATGGTGTGGGGCATTCAATTGTTTTTGCAATAACCTGCTTTACCTCCTTAACCGTTTGACCGATTTTAACAAGTTTGGTATGGTTGAAAAGAGCATTCCTTGGGCAATGAGAATCAACCAATATAGTTAATTTAGTTGAATCCTTCTCCGCTAGGGGGCTAGTTTTGACACTATGACCCAAAATTCTTGTTGCCCAAGGAATGCTCTTTTCAAGGATACGAAATTTGTTACAATCGGTCAAACGGTTAAGAAGTTAAAGCAGGTTATTGCAAAAACAATTGAACGCCCCACGCTCTTTAAAAATGTGAAAAAAAATTTTTTAGTTTATTAGACGAAATTTAAAGAAAACGCAATTTTAAAATTTAAGATGGCAGTTACGCCCTCTGGTGGTCATTTTTAGAACTTCAAAATATTTTCCAGCGATTCTTCATAACCGATTACTCAATAATTTTTTTTACCCCTAAGTCATACGACGAACTGTTCCCGAGATATGGCCGAGGAACAGTCTTATTGGGTCACCCGGTACACTTTCATATTATAACACTGATATTAAAACATAGGAAAATAGCAGGGAAAATAGTGACTAATGCACAAAATAATTTTTCAAAAATCGTTAAATTCATTCTCATAAAAAAGTAATAGAATATTTTCAAACTGCAATGTAGATCCACTAAAAAAATAGACAGAGTAGTTTTGCAAAAACCTTAAGAAGACAAAACAATAATTTTTCAAAATTTGTTTAATTTTTGAAAAACGGATCTGTGTACTTTAAAAAGGTTCTTATACTTTAAAACGATAAGATCGTAGGCAGGACAGATCCAAATAGCTGAACTAAACATTTTTTAGTGTAACCATGATGCATTAAAAAAAGAGATAGACTACATGGAAATAGTGACAACACTACAAATCCAATTTTTAAAAGACCACTTGGTTTTTGAAAACTGATCCCTATATGATAAATTACCACATTTTTACAATTTGTTTTTAAAAATCGAAAAACTAGACCTTTTTGATATTGTAACACTAATGCATTAAAAAAAAAGGTAGTTCCTAAACAAATAATGACAAAGCCCCAAAATAATCTTTTTCAAAATTACATTGATACTTCACAAAGTGACGAACATAATTTTTTTAAATTTAAATTTTCAAAAAATATCTGTTTGTAGTTTTTTGAATGCTTACTTTCACCCATTACATCCAAATACATATTCTTTAATAATTCACATATTTTATGCTTGCGCTTTAGGCTTTTGCTTTTCATAAAGTTTGTCGTGACTCAAATTTTATATACAACTACAAAAGTAAAGGAAAGGGTTATTTTTTTACACCATCCATAATTTTTTATTTTCTAGCAAATGTTAAAATGACATTTTAATAGGTTTGAATGAGTAGACTAAGCCGTTCTTTAACCGTAAAGGTAGATAAAGTGAAACAAATGAGTGTGCAATCTAATGACATCCGTCATTCTTATTTCAAATGCACTATATAAACTGACGTCCAGAACATATGACAGTTCTGTTTCTATAGAAACGATCACGACGGCTGAACCTAGGCTTGCTATTTTTGATGTCTCTAAATTAAATTCAGAATTCTCCAAAGTTTTACAATGATTTATATTGCTTCTGCTACAAAATAAACTTTTGTATTGTACACGACGATAAAGGGAAACTAACCATCTCGTGAAAGTCTTTCACTCAATGGTTAAAATATCCCTTTATCGTCTTGTATAATAAATAAGTATTATTGGACTCGAATATGAACAGGGTTATACCAAGTACCTACACCGCTCCACTAAGCGGTCATGCATAGAATAGGGGATCCAGCGGCGTGGATACCAGCGAATCTTCTCTCAAGATTTCAGGTGAAATAATGCTGTGTAAATTTGACTTTTTTGAAAATCATTTCACCTGTTCAAAATTTGGAGCTGGCAGATTGGGACAGAACATAATTTGAAATAAGATTTTATGACCTTAGTACGGAAAGAAGATAAAAATAAACCCCGAAGGCGGATCTAAAAAAGCGGCAGAACACCTTGGTATGACCTTATGGGGTCATTGGATTTGATCCATTTTCAATAGGCTTGTTACATGTGGTATATAGGTCAACTGTACAAAGTTTGAACCGAATTGGGCCAAGCGTTTGGCAGTTATCGGACACTATCGAGTTCCCTACAAAGCTTCCATCACTTTGCTCTGCCGCTTAATACATTTTCAAAACCATTCGGTCTGTTAAATAGGGAAAGAGAAGTAACAAAAGTGGCTTGGCCAGCAAAGGCACTGCAAATAATGACCTCTTAACGTAAATTTCGGAATTTACAGATGAAACATTTGAACAAAAATGCAACAATAAACGTAATTACACAACTAAAAAAAAGAGCAAATACAAAAAGAAATTTAAGATGGCAGAGGCGGCGACGCCAGGCATATGTCAAAGTTTCAAGTTTCAAAACAAGTTAAAAAAGTAATCGTAAACGATTTACAAAAAGCGCATTTTCACTTGCATTCATTTTCCATTTGTAAGATGCAATTTCTGTTAAAATCGTAAAAACCCGGCCACAAATATGAAAGATAGCGTTGCAAATGTGCAATCCATTTTTGAAATGCTACTTCAATTTCCGTTTATAAAAAGAATTTCATTTCAATGCTTTCATAAATAAGAAAGTTGCCACTGCGCATGCGCAAACCTAAATTTTGACACTAACGTTAGATGTTCCTTTGTTTCAAGTGGCTATGTATCAAATGTCATTGAAATACTTTTATAATTAAAAAAGTTTGCAATTCGGTTTATAAATGGTCGGGGCACTGGGAATTTTGAATCGATTTGACTCAACTTTTGGCATTGCGTATTATATGGCTAAAGCTATAGGCTGGTCAATCTAGGCAGGTTTATACAAGTGAAGTAGAAAAAATTAGTAACAAAGTAATCTCTGCGGAAATGAGTACTCAATAGGGTCCTTATTAATCCCTCAAAAATCGCATTGGTGGTATATTTTGATTCTCTATAAAAATGATCTTTTGAGTTTTTTTAATTAAATGCATACTTTACGAGATATTTAATAATTTCAACAAAAATCAACATGGTGGCCATTTTTTTCTAAGTTCTACCAATGCGACAAAGTGCGATTTTTGAGGAGTTAATAAGGATCCTATTGAGCACTCATTTCCGCAGAGATCACTTTGTTACTAATTTTTTCTACTTCAACCACCCATTTTGACTAGCCTACTATGCCCATATTGAATTTCATGCAATTTAGTTCATAACTAACGGAGATATAAAAGCGATCGGACATTTCTAAACAAAGTTATCATTCACACGGAAAGATAGATGGACAAACAGACATAGGAAGAGACGGACAGACTAACAGACAGACAGCAATACAAAATTATAACTGTAAAATTATGGAACATGTAAAAAACGGTTTTTTGGTTTTTTTACAATAACTTTTTTAGCAATAAACGCAGAAAAAATTCCTTCCTCCCACCATAACGAACCAAATAGCAAAAAAAGTAAAACAATAGCTCTTAAGATGGACGGACGGACAAAGTGGCCACAATAGCGCATTTTTTTTGTTTTTGTGAAAATGCGCTAAAAAAGGTATTATATAATGATTATAACAGATGAATAAATGAAGAAAGACGTACAGAGAAAATTAAGAAAGTGACTCAGAAATTGAAAGAGCAGAAAGCAGCAACTTACAGGTACGGATCGAGTTTGTCCAACAGTAAACTTTCGTACAACTTCACCTCCTTGGCCTTATCCTGACTAATTTCGGCCATCATCGCGTCGTTAGGACCAAAAATCGTGCCCAGTCCCGCCGTGCGCTTCTGCTGAAAGTCGGCGAGCTGCCGCGTCAGCTCCTCCTTCGCCCTCGTGCGCGCCTTCCAGAATATTCGACGCAGTATCTCCTCCTTGTCGAATTCGTGCGTGAGAACGTCGTCGATTTCGCGTGCGATATTCTCGTCGACGTTGCTCAGGCGGAGATGCTGCAAGTTAAGGGTTAGCTCGTGCGACGTTAATCGAAATACTTACGGCGCCCGGTACGAGGAAGCTCGAGTGGATCTCGAACGCCCACTTTCGCATCTCCTTCGCGTTGCCCTCTTTGTACAGGTCGGTGATTAAATAAAATAGTAGGCTACTGGGATCCGAGTTTGATAACACGTAATTCATGAACACAGCTAGGTGAGGGGTATGTTCCCAGAGTCGGGACAGCGATTTGAACGGACCGTGATCCTCCAACTGGCCCTGAAGGTCATTGTTACATTTTCGAGGTATTTACGTGAAGGAACTTACCACTTCGGGATCGGAGATCTCGTCGTCCTCCATACTGATGATCGGCTGTTGGGCGGTTTGGGAGGTCGCCGCGTGAATCGGCGAGCTGTTGGCCAATACTCGTCCCATTAGGCCCAAAGAGGTTTCCATAATATTCTGGAAAAAATAAGAACCATCAAAGAATGAGAAAACAATACATAGTCCCTCTTTGTTTCTGGTGAGAACAATTTAGTTTCTGTTTCAGAACTTAGGCACAGAGAACAGGTGCTCTCTGTTTCAAGAGAGTTCTGTGACATGTGATAATTTTCCCCAAGTACTTAACCTTATTAATTGGATGACAGTCACTGTAATTTTTGTTTGAGATTCTCTGGAACATTTTAAATTATCTGTCCTTTCGTCTGTGGCGACCCCTGTTGGCGGATTCCTTCACGCAAGCCTCAAGGCGCATTTTACGTCTCAATTTTTTACTGGGATTTCATCCTCCTTTGCTGAGAGTACCGCTAGGGAGTATTCCTTATCCCCCGAAACTATGTCCTCCCACAAAAACGTCTAATGGTCACTCATACGATAATTTGCGAGAAAACACAATCGAACTTGCTCTATCGTTGTGGAAGAAAATAGTACTGGGGGGTTTGGGGGGTATGGAATGAAATTAAGCTAAAGAGGAAACAATTCAAAAAAGTACATTCACCTACCTCCTCAAATGTAAGATCACAGTCATCAGCCGAGTTTCGATTACTGTACTGCTTTCGACCGGGTACCGGACTAGGATACGGAGGCGGCGGCGTTCCGGGCGGCGTCGGCGCCGACTCCCAAATTTCCGTTCGACTCAAATCGTTCATGCTCTCCGAGGCGATTAACCGCCGTGACGCCTCGGCGGGCGATATCGCGCAAAGAGAATCCGGACTCGACTTTGTACGATGGTGCGTATGATTTGGAGACTGAAAAAAAATACGTTATTGGCCCATTAATGCGCTACGGTATAAAGCGGCGACTGCGTGGTTTAGATCTTATTCATTGCGCAAATCTACAGGATGTTTCATTAATTTCAATTTTTAAATTTTCAGATTAAAATTGAAATTCGCGATTGAGATTAACACTAGAGGCTGGTGTAATTTACAATGGCGTGTAGCGGTTTGTAAACATTCTTGCAGGTTAAGTAAATTGAACTATTTTGAAAGTGAATTGAGTGTATCCTGCCGTTTTTGCGACTGGAAAATATAAATCCATAATCTCTCGCCGACATTCCCTTACGTCGATTATGCTTAAAAACAGCGTTACTATTCCTGGCATAATTACACTGACCACAAATTAATTTTTCGATGTGTTTCTTACTATTTGTGGCAGACCTAATCGCACAGAGTGCACGTAACATCCTTCTATGTGAATATGCCACTTTAACTTATGCTTATCGAGACTGTGTGTTAAAATGTGACGCTTAAATGTTAAAAAAAAGTTATTCCTAGCAGAGTGTGTCAAAGAATGAGTGTTTTTGTTGTGTAATTGCACTGTGCACAATTAAAAACTTTGGACGCGTTAGACGATGATTCTTTAATTTGCCCTTATTGCTGGTTGGGTGTAACTGCACTATTCACAATTAAAAACTTTGGAAATATTATGAGTTATACGTCGATTTCTTAAATTATCCTTACTGTTGGTTGCGTAATTACACTGATCACATTTACCGTTGTGAAATGATCGGCCAAAATTTTCGAACATTGCTTTTATTAATTTTCCTCTAAATACTAAAGCAATTATATGTACAATTAAATAGAAAACCCTCTCATCAAGCAGAAATACGAATCAATAAGGGTTGAACAAGCCACTCCTCTCATCATATCTCAAAAACGGCACATACTATCACGATCAAATTTTCGTGGATGGCTAATGACCAATTACCACTGCGTCTTACTGTAACTGGCGATCAAAAAAGGATTGACGTGGTGTCCCCTTTGGAAGTTGAAGTTAAATATGATTACCCATGTAAACAAAAGTTCCAGAGGTCACTCAACGGCAACTTTTTTTTGATCGCATAGTATTCCTTTTGCTGTCTAATGAATAGGAATTTTCCACATATTTGTCTTTTAACTCGTCTTTTAATAATGTGCATAAATTTACACTTATACTGTGTGGATGTTTATTAAGCGGCAGAGCTAAGCGATGCAAGCTTTATAGGGGAGTCGATGGTGTCCAGAGTTGGACTGGGTCACTGGGTCAACTGGGTCACTAAATTAAACTGGGTCACTGGGTCGCTGGGTCACGTCATACTCTTTTCAGTTAGACCCAGTGACCCAGTTTGACCCAGTGACCCAACTTAACCCAGTTTGACCCACCGACCCAATTTCACCCGGGGACCCAATTCGACCCAATCACCTAGTTTGATCGAATAACGCAGTTAAGTCAGTGCCCTCGGTTCAAGTGTACAGATTATGAAATAAATGCTTAATGCTGGTTTGTTGAAAATAATACTCGATTGCTTGACAACTGCCATTTCTGTGATGTTTGCTTTAATACTGCCGTAAAAAACTTTCCATGTCCCGAATTGTATTAGAATAATGTTATTTCTTTGCTTCAGGGCTTACCAGTTTGCTTACAGGTGTTCATTCACATTTAATTTTTTTCTACTAGTTAGCTTAATCAAAATAAATCTTTTCTCTAAATACTTTCATTGACTACAAACTATAAGCAAATGCATTTGATTTTTTTAGGTATTAGTTCTCTTGAATGAAATTGGGCTACGTGCTTGTTGCCTAATATTATTGAGGAAGTTTTTTTTTTAAATTAAAAGTTACTTGAAATTGTTTTGGATGATACCTAACAATAATTTAATTACTGGGCCACCGGGTCACTGGGTCAAGCTGGGTCACCGGGTCAAGCTGGGTCACCGGATCAAGCTGGGTCACTAGGTCAAGTTGGGTCACCGGGTCAAGCTGGGTCACCGGGTCATTGGGTCAGTAAACTAACTGGGTCACCGGGTCACTCTATGCTTGACCCAGTCCAACTCTGATGGTGTCCGTCTGTCCGTGAACACGATAACTGTCAAACGCTTGGACCGGTTTGGTTCAAACTTTGCACAGTTGACCTATATGTAATTCCCGTTAATAAGGGGAATCAAAAAATGTATTTCTTTATTATGTTTACGTCAAGAAGTAAATGGGTCAAATCCAATGACCCCTTGGGGTCACGCTTCTCTGTCCCTGCCAAACGATTCAACCTATTCGGCTCAAACTTTGCACAGTAGACTTATATTTATTTATTTATTTATTATTCCTCTCTTAGTTTTGGGCCCTCAACAGGCATGCGCCCAATTACAGAGTGACCCGCATAATGCTATTTAGAGGTGCCTCTGCAGAAGGTCTTAAGTTGGTCTATAGGTACTACTCCGGTATTTACCTTGCGAATTAGGAAAACTGCAGGAAAACCTAATTCGGAGTAGCCGGTAGAATGCTCGGAACTGGTCTAAGGTAATTTACATCTCCGCCACAGATGAAAAATTCACCTCAACCCAGGTTCGAACACCCGACCTCCGGATTTATAACCCAACGCTCTTACCACTGAGCCATAAAGCCGGTATGCCATATGCCACATGTAACAAACCAATTGAAAATGGGTCAAATCCAATTACTCTGTGGGGTCACACCGAGGTCCTCTGCCGCTTTTTTAGACTGTCTTTATGGGTTTATTACTTTTTACGCTATAAGTATAAATTATATAAAACAAAGTGTAATCGAATATAAACATTCTTTGTACTAATTGTGTTTGAATATTTAATCATTAACTATACAAGCTGTTGTTGGTACCTATGTGGAAGAATAAACAATAAATAGGATGTCTTGTAGGTATCGTTGGTAATTTTTTTACACAATTTCCTAAATATGTTTCGTTATTCTTTATTTTTTGTGATTATTTATTCTCAATCTATCATTAACCATCCATGAATATTTGATCGTGATAGTATGTGCCGTTTTCGAGATACGACAGGGGGTGACTATTTCAACCTCTTGGACGGCAGTGCACCTGGATATTTTGTTGACAATTCAACTCATGTATAAAAAATCGCATAGGCCGCAGTGCAATTGTCACTTTGACAGCGGCAAAAGTTACCTGCATCTTTTCCAGCGACAAATGCACTAGTGGTTTTTTCCTTAGACCATTATAGTACATGGACTGCTAATTGTAACTAAAATATGGTCAAGGACATCGCCTGGGTATGTGAGTTTCAGGGTAAACGAGTCTATCCGAAGTTGTCCGATTAGACACGATTTGAGACTGTCAACCTATAAATTAACAAACGTCAATTAATTAATCGCCTAGATATCCCAAAAAAAGCAAACTTATTCTTATTTATGTCTTACTAACCTATCATAGCACATTTTATATCTGTGATACGCGGGCATAAAGTACCACTTCATGCCCTAGGGCATTAAGTATCACCATAGTAACTCATTTATACTTAATGACAAAACAAACAAATATTTGCAGGTAATTGAAAATTAGAAACGTCAATTACTAATTGTCAATACCTACTAAATCACAAGATTGGCCTTATTTCGAATAGTTTCTGGAACTTCCTCCTCATTCACAATGAATTGAATTATTAAGGATCCTCAGATCCTTTATAGTTTTGTATTGTCGTCCGTCCGTCCGTCCGTCCGTCCGTGTGCGCTCTAACTCTTTTTAAAAGTGGCCGATTGTGTTGAAATTTGGTATACGGGTACGTTGGACATTAAGAACGGACGCTATTGATTTTCAGGAAGCTGGTTCAACAGGAACAAAAGTTATACGACTTCGAGTGAATCGGGAACAGGAAAAACTGCGAACTCAATATAATAAAAATTAACATATTTCATTCCCTAGGTCATGTATCGAGTTCGTACTTTCGCTAGATTATTCCCTATGACTCTTAGATGTGTAACAATTCAATATAACTCTTCTCTGTGGTCTCGGTCAAAAGTTTTAGAGCAAAATGTACCCAAAATTATTCTTTACACATGAATTTAGAGTTGTAAATGCTTTCAAACGCATTATCTTGATGCTGAAAGAGTTGATAACGTGCACGTTTGATAACCGCATGTGTGTGATTCAAAAATGTTAAATTATTTTTCTGAGGCCACATGGATTTTGATTAAAATATGTCAAAATCGTTATTTATGCACCAAGAGCGTTGGGAAAAAGACTAAGCGCATTATCTCAATGCCCAAGACATGAATTTGATGCATTTTTGGCNAAAGACTAGGCGCATTATCTCAATGCCCAAGACATGAATTTGATGAATTTTTGGCGAAAACGTGGATTTTGATCAAAACATGTCAAAATCGTTATTTATGCACCAAGATCTTTGGGAAAAAGACTAGGCGCATTATCTCAATGCCCAAGACATGAATTTGATGCATTTTTGGCGACCACGTGGATTTTGATCAAAACATGTCAAAATCGTTATTTATGCACCAAGAGCGTGGGGAAAAAGACTAAGCGCATTATCTCAATGCCCAAGACATGAATTTGATGCATTTTTGGCGACCACGTGGATTTTGATCAAAACATGTCAAAATCGTTATTTATGCACCAAGATCATTGGGAAAAAGACTAGGCGCATTATCTCAATGCCCAAGACATGAATTTGATGAATTTTTGGCGAAAACGTGGATTTTGATCAAAACATGTCAAAATCGTTATTAATGCACCAAGATCGTTGGGAAAAAGATCAAGAGCATTATCTCAATGATCTAAACATGAATTTGATCTATTTTTATGGACCACATGGATTTTGATCAAAACATGTCAAAATCGTTATTTATGCACCAAGATCGTTGGGAAAAAAACCAAGAGCATTATCTCAAAGCCCAAGACGTGAATTTGATGCATTTTTGTTAACTATAAAATGTATTTTGTAAGATTAAAATAAATTGTCGTTAAAAGTGATTGTAATACTGAGGATCCTTCGATATTTCGTTGTATCGGTTTATTTAAAATTACGTTTGACGTTTGGATGGTTTCTATCACATTAACAAATTCGAACCACGCATATTCGATCAAACATAATGAATTATTTTGTAAACGAATTTTGGCGAAGAAAACTATTTGTAAAACATAAAATTTTATATGTACCACGGGCATAAACTGATGTCTATACTCTCGGGCGACTAAAAAGCTCTCGGGCCATAGGCCCTCGAGCTTTTTAACTTGTCGCCCTCGAGAATATAAACATCACTATTATGCCCTTAATACATAAATAACTATTGTGGACGTATAGTAAATAATGAAGGGTATTTAAAGCTTCCCGTACTACGCGGTTACTATAAAGCTGCTCTTTAAGCGATCCTAGTGGTGTTTACACGACTTTAGTTTACCCTGAGATTCACATACCCACGACTACAGTGCCCTCTATTCGTGACCATCCATTTTGTATTGAAAGCATAGGGCGAATAGCAGTCCATGTACTATATGGTCTAAGGTTTTTTCACTATTCATTTTCGAACCAATTATCGCATTATCCTTTCCGATATGACTAGTTTGACGTCTGTCAATAATTGATTAGTCTCGTGAATTTCTTGTTCGTTAAATTGTCCTGCCGAATTACACTCAAGGTTTGTATTTAAACCAAGTAAATTTGGGTTGTTGCAACTCAAATCTGTTTCCTTTTAGCAATTGAACTCGAAAAACTGTCAACCTAAAAATGCTCCACCTGCGGTGTCACATTTTTATTAGTTGACAGTTTTTCTCGTCTAATTGCTAGGCAACAGATTTTCATTACCTAAACAACCCAAATTTACTCGGTAAAATACAAACCTCTTGTGCAATTATAAGTGACAATTCAACTCATGTATAAAAAATCGCATAAGCCGCAGTGAAATTGTCACTTTGACAACGGCAAAAGTTACCTGCAACTTTTCCAGCGACAAATGCACTAGTGGTTTTTTCACTTATTCATTTTCGAACCAAATATCGTATTATCCTTTCCCATATGACTAGTTTGACGTCTGTCAATAATTGATTAATTTGGTGAATTTCTTGTTCGTTAAATTGTCCTGCCGAATTACACTCGAGGTTTGTATTTAAACCGAGTAAATTTGGGTTGTGGCAATTCAAATCTGTTTCCTTTTAGCAATTGGACTCGAAAAACTGTCAACCTAAAAATGCTCCACCTGCGGTGTCGCATTTTTATTAGTTGACAGTTTTTCTCGTCTAATTACTAGGTAACAGATTTTCATTACCTAAACAACCCAAATTTACTCGGTAAAATACAAACCTCTTGTGCAATTATAAGTGATTATTTATTCTCGAACTATCATTAACCATCCACGAAAATTTGGTCGTGATAGTATGCGCAGTTTTCGAGATACGACAGGGGGTGACTATTTCAACCCCTTGGACGGCAGTGCACCTGGGTATTTTTGTTGATTATTTATTCTCAAACTATCATTAGCCATCCACGAAAAGTTGATCGTGATAGTATGTGCCGTTTTCGAGATACGACAGGGGGGTGACTATTTCAACCCCTAAGACGACAGCGCACCTGGGTATTTTTGTTGATTATTTATTCTCGAACTATCATTAGCCATCCACGAAAATTTGGTCGTAATAGTATGTGCCGTTCTCGATATATGATGAGAGGGGTGGCTGGTTCAACCCTTATTGACTCGTATTTCTGCTTGATGAGAGGGTTTTCCGAGGGGTTTTCTATTTAATTGTACATAGAATTGCTTTAGTATTTAGAGGAAAATTAATAAAAGCAAACAAAATTGCGTGGCAAGGTATATTTTCACTTCGGGTATGTTCGGAAATTTTGGCCGCCAGTTTTGGCCGCTCATTTCACACCGGTATCACATTTCAAATTCTTGAAAATAACGTGGTAAAATGCGACGTTTCTTTAAAGTGTAATTACATTGATTGCAAATGTATTTACTTTTACGACCCTAAAAACTATAAAGTTGATTACTTTTAGCCATTGCAAAGAAACAAAATGGCGGTCTTATCCCACCAATCTTAATTACAATGTGCTGTCACCAGAGGTCTCACGGTTACTCTGAATCACGAATAAGCAGGGAAGGTGGATGTTAATTTAACTTTCACTGTATCTGCAAAGCGAATTTTTATGCTCATGTCCTCTGAACCATCCTGTAATGTGATCATGATCTCCAACCAAATAGTCTGGAATCTGTCCTGCTTGCTTTGCGCGTTCAAACGGATGCGCAACAGCCGCCTATTGCGAAAACAAGCAGTTCTTACACACTTCGATTTTTTTAACTACTACTTCGACAGTTAAAAATGAGTGGTATTTACATTGTTGATTAAATCATTGCAAATCAAGCAAAATAATCTTTACACTGAAAACTTGTCACATCGACTAAGACCGATCGGTCCTAACCGGTAGTGGCAGAAAAAATTAAAACAAAAGCATTAGAAACGTCTACAAAAATGTTACTTACATAGTTGTTAACTAGAGTTGTGCAAGTCGCCACAAGTGGGTACGACATTTGCTTGTTTATTGAATTAACAGCGTCGGGATCACTACATCCAGTGTTGGATAGACGAGGCGGAAGTGGCGGCGGAAGGGAGGACGTGTCGGAATATAGGGAGTTAGTGATCATCAGTTCGGAATTTGGAGACGGCTCCGCGTTATTGTTTTCGGATGGTACTTCGCGAAAAAGAAACATGGCGTTTATATCTAAAGGCACCTTTCCATTGATATACAAAGGCTTAGCGTTATTTTGTGCGTCGAGTGAACGATTTCGTTTCGGTAAGGGAGGAGGCACTTCGTTATCTAAAATAAAGCCGTGTGAAGAAGGCACCTGTGCCAGTCTTTGCGAATGTTTCTTACTAAGTTTCGGAGGTAAGGTATGGGAGACGTTGGGAGGTGGACTTTTCGGTAGTGGGGGAGGTGTATCTAAATTATCGAGGCGTTGCTGTAAGAAAGAGACAGTAAAGCAGTGTTAGTGTAGTGTCAACAGCCATATATTTATTTGTGTCTAGCCTTCTCCTGGAGCACCAGGAAAAAGCTACACATCACATACAATGAAAATTAGAAACATCACCGATAAAGATTGATCAAATGGAAGTATTTTCACCAATCTTTACTGTTATAAAAAATGCAGCGTGTAAATGGTAACAGATACAATGAGCCAAAAGCCAACCGTTTACCATTATAACCATTTACCAACCAAGCCGACAATTTTAACACTCATTCAATTATCAAAATGTACAAATTCGTAATGGCCGGAAATTACCTCGTTCTGCGTTCGAACGTGATTTTGAAGTATCGTGTGCAGCTTCTGGAGGTTACTTTCCGCCTTAACTAACTTCTCGCTCTTCTTGTCGTTCGGCGAGACCGCAATTTCGCTACGCAACTGATCGATGAAGCGCTGCTCCTTTTCGATCATCAGCCGAATTTGCTGTTCGCGCTCCAGCTGCAGTTGGTATTGCTTCTCGTACTGCAACGGAACTCTCGATGAGAAATCGCAGACGAGTTCGACGGTACTTACGGTAACTGGTTGAGGGCCCGTGATCCGTTGCGACGAGTGCGTCGTGAGCGGACGGGTGTGAAGACTGGGGGACCCCATGGTTCTGAGGACCCCCGATCTTTGTTGAACTGTCAGTGTTACGTGGCCCGAAGCTGCAAGAAAAAATGGTGGTTATTGGTTGTTTTTAAACTGCTAATAATGCAAATTTTTCGAAAATAAGGCATTCTCTGCCTCGTCAAAAATTAACGCCTCGAAGCTCCAAAGGAAAACGCTCGGTATATTGTTGTGTAAATTACCGTAGTTTGGATGATGTTTAAGCCGCATTATAATTTGTTTATATTGTTTATTTAATTGGGACAGGAACGTCTAGAAATTATTTGCGTTAACATTTGAGAAGTTTATCTCATGTTGTTCCCCGGTCGTAGATAAGAATTGCGCTTACCGCTAAAAGTTATTTAATTCTGTAAACAGATGTTGTCGCAGGTGCGCGTTTAGATAAGAGAATTTTGTTTATTTTAACTAAAGAACTAGATCGGATTGGAGCTCGCGTCGCTCGCTCCTACCGATCACGGCGTTTTGTTATCACACGCCGTTTTTTGTGGTTTTCCGTTTGTAAATTTTTTTTTAGCTCGACCGTTGTGCGATTGTAGTTTGGGTTGTTTTTAAGTGACGTTGGAATTTTATAAAATGCGAAAAACAAAGGAAAAAAATTTTGATTCGGCTCAAAAAAGCACCAATATATCGATAGTCTTTTTTTTTAGTCAAACTCGGCGTATGTGTTTATAAAAATGCTACGCATTTTAAGACTTCGCTAGCGTGAGTTGATTTCCCCCTAATTCCCCTGAAAACGGGGCATTTTTTACGTTTGTGTTTGTATTTTTTCGTTGTAATATAAACCTATTGGGTTTTGGATATTGTGTGCTATTTCGTTTCGTTCCGTGCTATAGGTAACATACGATTCTGTTTTAACTGTATACCAATTCTTTATCATCTATTGATACAAATAAGAAAGTTGATTTTTGTGCATTCGTAGTACGACTTTCTGCGTATGTATTTTTTTTTTTTAAAAAGACGGTTGTTAGGTTAGGTTAGGTTGAAATGTGCAGTTAGGTTAGGTTAGGTAGGCATGTGCTGTTGAGCTAAATCGAGAGTTACTTTTGACTTTGAACTTGAACTGAAACTTGATTTTGAACCTAACCTAACCTAACCTAACTTTAACTTAATCGTTCGTGCGCAGTAATGTCTTTTAGTTGGTTTTCTTTTGCATTTCAAAATTTGTCCTCTCATCAGTTAGGTTAGATCGAGAGCTTTCTAAAGACACCCATGAACCACTACCTACTACGTTCCGTTTTCGAGATATCACGATTTAAGTGTTTTTGTGGTGTCAAATTACAAATCGCTATATCTCCGTTGTTTACTGTCCGATTTCGTTCAAATTAGGTATTAAGAGGTTGGAGAAATGAAGGCACTCGTTTCCACCCTTTCGGTGCTTCTACCTCCATTCCGAAATTTTGACCGTCCCATCGCTTAGATTACATCGAGACCTTTCCAAAGATACCTATAAAGCCCCATCTACGACGTACCGTTCTCGAGATATCGCGTTTTAAGTGTTTTTGTTGGTGTCAAATTACAAATGGCTATATCTCCGTTATTTACCGTCCGATCTCGATGAAATTTGGTATCGAGAGGTTTGGGGACTCGGACAATTCGATTCCGTCATTTTCGAGCTCGTATCTCGGTTCCGAAATTTCGACACTTCCATCGGTTAGATTAGGTCGAGAACGTTCTAAAGACACCCATGAACCCCTATCAACGACGTTCCGTTTTCGAGATATCGCGATTTAAGTTTTTGATAAAAAATCCAAAAAAACGGTTTTTGCGTAGATCGTCTAGAAATGTCGCGAAACGCGTGATTCCGAAGTATCGAGGTCGCAGGTCAAAAGACGACAGAGAGGCGTCGATATCTCGAAAAGGGGAGGGGATAGGAAAAAATTGAAAATCCCGTTTCGAGCCCCCGGCGGGGCGCAGCTACGGTTTAAATTTGGTCCAGATCGGCCGGTAAATAAGGGAGATATTAAGAGATGCGCGGCCCTTTAAAACGCATCCCTGCGCGTGGTCTAAATTTTTCCCGTGTTATACGTATAAGTTCGGAGATCGATCGCGTACGAGTAGATACGGAAGTGTATATATAAAAATGAGTATATATATATATACCCGTTTGTGAGAAAATGTTTTTTATCGACTTTTCGCGACCCATTTGTTGTCGATGAGGGAAGGATACAATTTGGACGGTTCGAGACGGCGGCGTCGAATGACGTCGCCAAAATGCGAATCTCGGTAATGGAAAGTCGCAGGAGAATATGATAGGTATTGTCGGAAAGCTCTCAACGCCGAGGTTACGATAGTTTAGGTTTAGTGTGAGTAGAATGCCGACACTTACCCCCACCACTTTCTGTGACGTCACGGAGACCTTGGGTTTTTCCCAAGGTCGTGGCCTTGGGTTTTTCCCAAGGTCGTGGCCTTGGGTTTTTCCCAAGGTCGTGGCTTTGGGTTTTTCCCAAGGTCGTGTCTTTGGGTTTTTCCCAAGGTCGTGGCTTTGGGTTTTTCCCAAGGTCGTGGCTTTGGGTTTTCCCCAAGGTCGTGGCCTTGGGTTTTCCTCAAGATCATGGTTTTGAGGTTTTTCCAAGATCGTGACTTTGGTACAGGATCATGGTCTTGGATCCTGGGGCAGGGTTGTGATTATGGATTCTGGATCAAGGTCGTGGTCTTGGATGCTGAGTTGAGATTGTGTGATTTGGATTCTGGGATTTGAGTTTGGACTAAAACTGTGCTCTGGGATTTTCCTAGCGAATTTAAAAGAGAGAGGTGTAGAGAAAAATAAGAGATGCTGTATTACAAACCTAATCTAAGTACATACTCTTAGAAAATGGTAATCCATACATTTCAAATTTTACAAAGAAGAAGAAGAGGAAAAAGCAAAGCGAGAAGCAAGCAAAACAAGAAAATATTTGTGTACTTACTTTTTCTTAGTTTTTGTTTGAAAATCCTTGTTTTTTCCAAGTTTATCCACACACACACACACACACACCCTCCCTAACACATAAGAAAGAGAGAGATGCACAGATTAGCACTGTATAATTACGTAAACTACAGTAGATTATGCGAGTCTAATAAAACTTGTAACAATACGTTAGGTGATGTTAACGAGTCGGTAGTCAAATACTAACTGAAATTAGAGCGTACATTTCTTATTTGGGTATTTCCCGAGGCCATTGCAATGGGTTTCCTCAAGTCATGGCCTTGGACTATGAACTTGTCGTAGCATTGGGTTTTTCCCAAGGCCATGGTCTTGGACTTTGACCTCCCCAAGGTCATGGTCTTGGACTTTGACCTCGAGTTTTTCCAAGGTCGTGGTCTATTTTATTCAGTTTGTTTGCATACTTCGACGAATTTACAATGGAGAATAAGATTTATCCCCCCTTTAGTGCAATCGTAAGTGGACCAAGCGGATCTGGAAAGAGTTATTTTGTTGTAAATTTTCTTAAAAATGTAGGAAACATCTGTAACGTAGTGTTTGAAAGAATAGTATGGCATTACGCTGAATGGCAGGAATTGTACGACGATTTAAAGGGTATTGAGTTTCATCAGGGACTACCTGACATGTCTAATTTCGATGGTTTAAAACCAACACTGGTGATCATAGATGATCTAATGCGTGAATCAAATGGGTCCATGGTAGACATTTTTACAAAAGGTTGTCATCACCGAAATCTTAGTGTATTTTTCTTAACCCAAAACATATTCCATCAAGGAAAAGGCCAGAGAGATATTTCTTTAAACACTCATTACATAATTCTATTTAAAAATCCTCGTGATCGTGCACAAATTAAGCATTTAACTCGACAAATTTTACCTGAAAATTCAAAGTTTTTAGAGGAAGCATATAATGATGCCACATCTAAACCACATGGGTATTTATTATTCGATTTAAAACAAAGTACACCGGATGTATTCCGATACAGAACGTCGATTTTCGAAGAAGACGGCGCGTGTGTAGTATATACCCCAAAAAAGGGTATTAAAGGTTTAAATCTTGATAAATTAGGCATTATTAATTTATAATGTCTGCAAAGCTGACTAAACACGCAGAGTTGCTGCGTGCTCTCGCAAAATTGGGGCCTAAGGAGCGTCAAGCCTTAATAAAATGTTTGGATGATGATCAAATTCATTGCATATTTGAATGCATTTACAATACTTTAAAAGGTAAAGCTGAACTGACTGATAATCAGAAACGAAGTCTCAGTCGTCATAAGACTATCTTGAGACGTATGGTAAAGCCTCACGAAACAATAAGAAAGAAAAAACAGATCTTGGTGCAAAGCGGAGGAGCGTTCCTGCCATTTATATTAGGACCATTACTTGGTGGTATACTCGGAAGTTTGTTTAAATAATAATAATTATGGAGCACGGAAAGAAAATGTTACTCGTGCCTCAAGAAGTTATACAGCGGCTTAAAGCAAATGAGAATAGGAAAGAAGATGTTTTATCACGGATAGATGATGAAATGATGCAAATCTTAAAGTCGAATTTGTCTGATCATGATAAGTGGCAGCAGTATAATCAAGTTCTACAGAAATATTTACATTTTGCTGACCAGATACGGAAGCCAGTAAGCATCTCAATTGATTCAAGGCCAGAGGGTATATCGGAGGTTGACATATTAACCACAATACCGCAAACTTTTAAGAAGAAAGCCGAAGGATTTTTACGGATGCTCACGGCCTCAAGTAACATCGGCTGGGATAACAAAGGAATTGTCACAATAAAAGGTGAGGTTATTCCTTCGTCGAATATTATCGATCTGGTCCATGATACAATAAGACCGAGGAAGACATCAAACCCCGAAGGTTGGGAGAAGTTTGCGGCTTATGTTAAAGAAATCAATGTACCTCAAGAATTCGTGGGCAACGTGAGAAGACGGAATACCCCGCCTCACCGTACCAGCACGGTAAAACTTAATATAAATCGAGATAGAAGCTTTACCGATTACGATGCCGATTCCGAATTAATTTTACCACAACAACAACCACCCCAAAAACGCCGAAAAAGAACTAAACCTCTCAATATCTCTGAATCTCTGTGGGAAGCATTTGAACT